TTATACATGCATTTACTTGCAGCAGCCTCATTGTTACTTCATTTAAATCTTTACTCTTCTGAACTTTTACTTTTTTTTTAATCAGAACTAAAAACAATGTTTTAATACATATAATTTCTTCCATTTTTTTTAACAAGTAAAATTTTATTTATAATGTTTAACGTACCGGAGAGGTTAGAACAGAGTCTTAGGTCCGCTGTCGGATTATCACCAAGCTGTATTTTATGAACCGTTACATGTAGGTCCGATTTTGAGAGAAACTCAATGAAAAAACGTTTATGTAAAATACAAACAACGTGATATTTGTCCTTACAGCTTTTTATAAGTGGTACGGAAGTTCTCTATTCTACACATCTGGAGAGAGCTATATAAATAAAATTTTACAACAAACTAAATAGATTTCATACCTTTTGTTTATACAAAATTTAAGCTGAGCAAAAGTAGCAAAAGCATTGTCGGGGACGCTCAGCCAAACATTAAGTTTGGCTGAGCGTCCCCGGCAATGCTAAAACACATAAACTAAACAACATAGTTTTGAGTAACAAAGTACACTTGTTTCGTATCTGAAGGAAGAGTATTCGGATAGTCGAGCGGCAGTTTATTAATCACGAAGCGGCACGTCGCCCACAGACTGACGCGCGTCATTGGAAACGACGCGATTTGAGATTGGTATAAATCAAAGGCTTACAGTTGCAACAAGTTAACTCAAACATTTCGCGTTTTAAACAGTTAAAAATGGTTTATAAATGGTTATTGGAATACTCGTGTATTACTTTAGGTTCACTTATCAATGTATATCAAACCTTTACTGGGTTGTCCCCATTGCATCTTCAGTGCTATTTAACGACAAATTAAAAGTATCTTTTACCATCTTAATTGAAAACAAAATTGGTCAAACAGACATTGAACTGCGTATGCTAAGGGAAAATGGGCGATAAGCTTATAACTTGCGCCAGAGTGTAACTAACATCTGTTTTGCATAAACGGCCGCGAGGCGCGGAGCAAGCGACGCGGTTGCCTAGCACGCGGAATGCCGAATTCATCGCGCAATTCCCGACCAAGCGAATTTACTCGTGGTATTGCGAACGGGACATCCCGCCGTTTTTTTTAAAATATCTTTATTTCATAGGAAAAACTCGTCTGTTTTACATGCGATACAACGAACAGCTTTAACATTGTTCGGATTTTTTTTATTCCCAACACCGGCGTTTTTGGTATCTTTCGTTAGCGTTCATAGTTGTGATTTAGATCCAGATATTTATCAGCCAAATTAATTAAATAGTACCTAATCTTGAATAAATCGTTGTTACTCAGTGGCATCCAGTTTAAATTGCCGTAATCTGGCAAAACATAAAATATGAATAATTCCTAGTTGATAGTGTCATCTAGAAATCAATATATGCATATAATTACATTTAATTAAAACGTTTATAAAAGTTACCTAATTATTATTAATTTACTTTGTTTAAATACAATGATTTTTTTTCTTCTTACTTCATGAAACGAACGTAAACTGCAAATCGGAAAAATTAAGTATCGCTTTAAACTACATTCAATTGATTTCTAATTAAATAAATAAAAATTAACTTACGTATTCAATTTTCATTATTCACAAGTTAAAAAAAAATGCTTTTTTGCATATCATTGCACCATGTTAATTTTACACTTTATGTATGACTTTTCCAGTTTCTATAACTTAGGCAACTTCTATTGTAGCAGAACCTACAGTATCAACCGTCTTTAACTGTTGAGCTCTGTCTCTCTGCCTCAACTGTCTCTCGCGACTTACTTACATTGATAGCAGAAAATTAAAATAAAAAAGCTCAGTGCCCAAGCTTCGATTCTCTGAATCATTTTTAAAATAATAAATTATATTTAAGATATTTTTTTTTCTTAAAAAGACGTTATCTTGATAGATAATTATTTTTTCTTTTAAAAAAGTAGTTCTGTATTTTATTCTTAAAATAAATGCGGATTTGTTTTTAAAAACCCTACTAAAATAAATTACCATTTTAACCAATCGTTTAATCAATACGGAATAAATTTAATAATGATACGACATTGCGAATTTCAACCTTAAAACTTATTTTTATGTAAATTATTTTCGTGGATAACGCAAAACTTGAACTGATCCCAATCGTTTATTTTTAATAATATGGAAGTAGTAACAAGCAAATAAAATTGTTAATAAGCATTAGAATATATCACTTCTTTTATAGGGTTTCCTCCTTCTATTACCCAAGCAGTGCCACTATCTGCCTTTTCAAACACCTCAATTGTTGCTTTCCCAACTGCATCCACATTCTGCCAGGAATGTTGTTTTGTTCTTGTCAAAAATGCTTCAGATATTCTCTCATCCCATGTGACACATGGTATATTATCTACAAGATGTGTATGCGTGAATCCTGGGCAAATTGCTATAACTCTTACTCCGGATCTTTCGTAATTAAAAGAATGTCCCAACGATCTAGTAAAAGCAACAACTCCAAATTTTGTCGCTTGGTAAACAGGTAGATATTGCTCAACAATAACGCCATACAGCGATGCCATGTTCAATATTGTACCACCGTTCCCCGATTTGTCTTTTCGATTGGCTTCCCAGAATTTAAAAGATAATTGTACGACAGCTGTCAAATTTATATCTATCGCCTTCTTTGAAACAGTTTCACTAATCACTCCAGCATTATTTACAAGTATATCTATTTTGTTATAGGAGTCGATCAATTTCTTCCAAATCACGTCTATGTCTTTTGCAACGTCACATTTAAAGAAAACCGCTCTATTCTTACCGTATTTGGCACTTAATAGCTCTAAAGCTTTTTTACCTTCATCTTCATTAACGTCTAGAAATATGACATTTTTAGCTTCTTTCTCTAGAAAATTGCAAACTATTTCATATCCGATACCAGAAGCACCACCAGTTACTACCACAACAGAGTTTTTTATTCCTTGAGACATACTTTCTATTTTATAAAAAATAAGGTCACAATTTAAAAAAACATATAATTACGTGAATGTTTCAGAACTGACTTCTAAATAATGTCTGCAAAATTAACATCTAAGTGAGCATGACTTTATCACTATCTTTTTACATATATGTGATAGTGGCAAACGATAATGATAAAAATTAGTGCGTGTTTTTGTCAATGGAAAAATAATATATATCTTATTTACTTTGTTTTAACACACTTGAACCGTATCTTATAATTTTCTAGTGTTTTTGTATCTTGTTTCTTCTTTACTTTTAGCTTCTTTTTCTAAGAATTTGCAAACTATTACATATCCAATACCAGAATCACCACCAGCTACTACCACAACAGATTTTTTTATTTCTTAAGACATACTTTTTATTTTAAAATAAAAGGCCACACTTTGAAATGTATATAATTACGTGTTTGTTTCAGGAGTAACTTCCAAATAATGTTTGCAAAATTTACAACTGTGTGACAGTCATTATCATTATCTTTTTACATATATGTGATAGTGGCAAACGATAATAAAAAAGTGTATATTATTGGCATTTAATACCACTGATCGATGATGCCATATTAAACTTAATGAACGAAGTTAAATGAAGGTGCATTTTTTAAATACCAAATCAGTCTGAATTTCTTTATTCTTTTGGTCTCACTTTGCTTTCATCGCCGTTGTACTATGACCTCGGTTAGCCATAGTTGAACGGTAGAAACTACTCGAAAACAGATGGCGCAATTGTAGTAGATGATCATGATACTATCTGAACCTTTCATTTTCAGTCCTATGACCACGACTGCTGCAAAATATCTGAACGTTGGCCGCAGTTAAAATAAATTGTAAATAAGTAACATTTCGCGTTTTAAACAGTTAAAATGCTTTATTTAAACTCACGTATTTATTCGAGTTAGTTATGACATTTTATATCAAACCTTTACTGGTTTGTCCCCAATGCATCTTCAGTGCTTATTTAATGACAAATTAAATCTTACTTGAAAACAAAATTGATCACTCAGACATTGAACTGCGTATGCTATGAGAAAATGGGTGATAAGCTTATAACTTGCGCCAGAGTCTAACATCTGTTTTGCATAAACGGCCGCGAGGCGCGGAGCAAGCGACGCGCTGCCTACCACGCGGAATGCCGAATTCATCGCGCAATTCCCGATCAAGCGAATTCACTCGTGATATTGCGAACGAGACTTCCCCCTGCTTTTATTTTTAAATATTTTGATTTAATAGGAAAGAGTCGCCTGTTTTACATGCGATACAACGAACAGCTTTAAAATTGTTCGGTTTTTTTTTTATTTCCAACACCGGCGTTTTTGGTATCTTTCGTTAGCGTTCATAGTTGTGATTTAGATCCAGATTTTTATCAGTCAAATTAATTAAATAGTAATCTTGAATAAATCGTTGTTACTCAGTGGCATCCAGTTTAAATTGCCGTAATTTGGCGGAACATAATTGTAGATTATGATATAAGTGCGGTAAGTTGAGAATTACATCCGAGGCGATATTACTAGCCCGAGACATCGGCGAGGGCTATAAGAAAGCAGAGGCTGTAATTTACAAAGCGCACGTATGTCATACGACGTTTTATAACATATTTACGAGAAAATTAATAAAACTCTAACTTAGTTAAACGAATAAATCTTTAATTAATTGTTAAAGCAGTTATAAAAATTTTAACAACACAGCGAAAATAAATAGCGCGCGGAATTATTTTTACTTGTCCACAAATAAGCGATGCGCGCCCATCAACGTTTTTTTTTAGGCAAAGGGACAAAAACAGCCAGTATTACTAATAAAGTAATTTAATATAAAATTAATATTTTTGTGTTTTTGTTACAGATAGATGGTTGTAATTTATTGTCAAAATTAATTAAATTAAATAATTAAATGTTTATTTGTTATATTTTATTTCCCAAAGTTAATTTTATTCATAACACTTTCTTGACATAAAACCTCTTTGCGAAGATTTTTAAAAGTAATGAGATACATTACGATATTGAAATTGGTGTAATTACAACCACTTTACGAGCAAATATGTTATAAAATATGTTTAGGTAATTATATAATAGGAATTTCTATTGATTTTGTGCCAACAGAATAATCCCTAGTTGATAGTGTTGTCTAGAAATCAATATATACGTATATATAATACGTTTGTTAGAAGTTACCTTATTAATATGTTGGATGGTTGTTAAATTGGATGATGTTTGATCTTTTCTTACTTCATGAAACGAACATAAAGTGCAAATGCATTGTAGATAACCTTAGTTTATAAAGTAAATATAAAAATGTAATATTGTACTTAAAAATTATAATGTTAAAACTACATACAACATTGTTTAGAAAATATGTTTCATATAAATAAACTGTTTTAGTTAAAAGTTATCAACTAATAAGTACGGAATAAATTTAACTTTGATACGACATTACGATATTCAATCTTAAAACTTATCTTTATTTACTTTATTTCGTTGATAACAATATTTAAAACATTAATTAGACCACATTTATTTATTTTAATAAATTATTGAAGCAATCAAATAAAATGATTAATAAGAATCAGAATATGTCACTTCTTTAATAGGCTTTCCTCCTTCTATTAACCAAGCAGTGCCACTCTTTGCTTTTTCAAACACCTCAATTGTTGCTTTCCCAACCGCATCCACATTTTGCCAAGAATGTTCTTTTGTTCTCGTCAAAAATGCTTCAAATATTGTCTCGTCCCATGTTGCATTTGGCATATTAGCTACAAGTTGTGTACGCGTGAATCCTGGGCAAATTGCTATAACTCTTACCCCGGATCTTTCGTAATTAAAAGAATGTCCCAACGATCTAGTAAAAGCAACAACTCCAAATTTTGTCGCATGGTAAACAGGTAGATATTGCTCAATCATGACGCCACACAGCGATGCTATGTTTAATATTGTACCACCGTTTCCTGATTTGTCTTTTCTATTGGCTTCCCAGAATTTAAAAGATAGTTGTATGAGAGCTGTCAAATTTATATTTATCGCCGTCTCTGGAACAGTTTCACTTATCACTCCAGCATTATTTACAAGTATATCTATTTTGTTATAAGAGTCGATCATTTTCTTCCAAATCACGTTTATGTCTTTGGTCACGTCACATTTAAATAAAACTGCCCTATTCTTACCATATTTAGAACTTAATAGCTCTAAAGCTTTTTTTACCTTCATCTTCATTAACGTCTAAAATAATGACATTTTTAGCTTCTTTTTCTAGGAAATTGCAAGCTATTTCATATCCAATACCAGAAGCACCACCAGTTACTACCACAATAGAATTTTTTATTTCTTGAGACATACTTTTAATTTTATAAAAAATAAGGTCACAATTTTAAACGTATATAGTTACGTGTATGATTCAGGAGTAATTTATAAATAATGTCTGCACAATTAAGATCTGAGTGAGCATAAGTTTAGCATTATCTTTTTACATATATATAGATAGTGGCAAACGATAATGATAAAAATAACTAAGTACGTGATTTTGCCAATGGAAAAGTATATATACTTATTTACTTTATTATACGGTCTGTCTGTTTCACTGATCCATTTATATTCCGGAAATTAGTAATTACAATTTTTCATTAAATAATTCGTGTACCTGTCTTGTACCAAAAGCTTTGGTTGACAATTTCACTGGGCTACCCTGGGATCAAAATATAATTACTTGGGGAATTAAGTGTTTTCTCCGCTCTTTTGTAATGATTAAGTGGACGGGGAACTTATAATTT